GAGGCGCCACCTACCACGAGGAGAGAAGCACGGGTGCCACCTACCACGAGGAGAGAGCACAGGTGCCACCTACCACGAGGAGAAGAGCACAGGCGCCACCTACCACGAGCAGAGAGAGCATGGGCGCCACCTACCACGAGGAGAGAGCACAGGCGCCACCTACCACAAGGAGAGAGCACAGGTGCCACCTACCACAAGGAGAGAGCACAGGTGCCACCTACCACAAGGAGAGAGCACAGGTGACACCTACCACAAGGAGAGAGCACAGGTGCCACCTGCCACAAGGAGAGAGAGCAGAGGCGCCACCTACCACGAGGAGAGAAAGCACGGGTGCCACCTACCACGAGGAGAGAGCACAGGTGCCACCTACCACGAGGAGAAAGAGCAGAGGCGCCACCTACCACGAGCAGAGAGAGCACGGGCGCCACCTACCACGAGCAGAGAGAGCACGGGCGCCACCTACCACGAGGAGAGATAGCACAGGCGCGAGGTCCATGATTCCACAGTTGGTAGCCATCGCGTGCAGCGCATTCTCTCCGTCTGCGTTCGTCTCCGCTGACAAGTTGCCTCCTCCGTTTGCGATGAGCAGCTCAACTAGAGCTGTGTTACCCTAGCAACGATATACAAGATGCATCACCCTGGCAATGACATAATAGATGGTCACCCTAGCAGTGACATAATAGATGTATTACCCTGACAATGACATAATAGATGGTCACCCTAGCAGTGACATAATAGATGTATTACCCTGACAATGACATTATAAATGGTAACCCTAGCAATGACATATGCCGTGTTACCCTGGCAACAATGTAATATATATTTTATCCTGACAACAACAAGTCCTTTAGCCTGGATCCGTATCGGACTGACGGTTTCCCCCTCCCCCCCCCCCCGACGCAATCCACAACTCGCTTAAACCGGGGGGCTTTCCGAGACCTCCTATGAATCGCGCAGCGTCCCACCTAACGACGATTACTCTCCCGTGCACGTACGCACCTACTGATTCGCGCAGCGTCCCACCTAACGACGATTACTCTCACGTGCACGTACGCACCTACTGATTCGCGCAGCATCCCACCTAGTGACGATTACTCTCCCGTGCACGTACGCACCTACTGATTCGCGCAGCATCCCACCTAGTGACGATTATTCTCACCTGTTCGACGGCGAGTGTGAGCGGCGTCTTGCCGAGGGTGTTGACGAGCGCCGGGTCGCACTTGTTGTCCAGCAGCACGCGCGCGATCTTCATGCACACCTGCTTCGCGCTGACCGCGGCGCCCTCTTCCTGCTGCTGCGCGTTGGCCGACTCCTTCATGCTCTGACTGGCGAGGTGGTGCAGCTGCGGGGGCGAAAACACGAAAGGTTCTCATCGCCGCGCGCGGACGGATCGACGTGCTGTCCACCGCCACGAGGTAACGCTACGTCACAGTTCAACTATTGTATACGCCAAATTTTTTCGCATTCGTACTTTTTTTGTATTCGCGAAAATTAAACCACCACAAAATATATAGAGTATACAGTAACCTCGGTGGTGGTGGTGGTGGTGGTGGGGGGAGTTAACTTGGCAGCATGTGCAATAGGACGGGATATGTAAAAGTGTGAAGTGCGGAGCAACGCCACACACGGCTTGACACGTGTGGACGGAGGAAAAATTCCCGCACGCAGCAATGCAGTTACGGTCTTCGGCATTAGATTGCTCGGAAAAGCCGGAAGAAACCGATATAGTAATGTCTATTTAGCGCGACCAATGTGAGATAAAAATTATGCACTCATTTTCAATAGAAAATAGTGGTTTCCAAGATGGTGTACTAGATACAAGCACAGTTATATTACTTGCTTACATCATTATGCTGCACCTTACAGCATTAGCATCACTTGCAGTATTTTAGCCATGATATAATTATTAGAATATCTTGCAGCATTTGAGACATGATATACCAGTGCCTAAATACTCATAGCACCAGCATAACATATATATACATATATATATAACATATATATACCGGCATGATACATTGCTTTTTTTCTACTTTTAACATTATAATAACATGCAGCATTTGAGACATCATATATTACTACTCTACTATTTATAGCATCAACATGACTTGCAGCGTTTTAGCTGTGATATGTTATATACTTCAATATACTCGTGTCATTGGAATAACTTGCCGCGTTCGAGCCGTGAGCGTCTACGAGTGTGCAGTCGGCTTTCTTCGTCTTCACAATGTAGAAGATCTCCTCCACAAGGTCAGGTGCGAGTGCACTCTGGCAGGCCTGCATCACTAGTGTCATGCCTACGCACACGTGTGAGAGAGAGAGAGAGATGTTAGATTAGCAACAACTGCCAGCTTCCAATCTCTCTCAGTCTTGCGTGTCTCACTTTCTACCACTTATTCTCTCTGTGTGTGTTTCTCTTTCTCTCTGTCTCTCTCTCTCTATCTCTCTCTCTCTTTCTATCTCTCTCTCTATCTCTATCTCTATCTCTATCTCTATCTCTATCTCTATGAAATCTTCTTACTCTCCTTCTATCCTCTGTCTCTGTCCCTCCGTCTCTGTCGTTCTTGTCTCTGTCTGCGTGTCTCTGTCTCTGTCTCTGTCTCTGTCTCTGTCTCTGTCTCTGTCCTCTGTCTCTGTTCTCTGTCTCTGTCTCTGTCTCTCATCTCTTCCTCTCTCTCTCTCTCTCTCATCTCTCTGTCTCCTCATCTCGCCCATTTCTCGTTCCTTTGTTACTTCATGGTTTTCATTCAATACCTTCATCATTGCGGCAACATTGATTATTGACGGATTGGCTGCTCCCAGAGAAGAAAGCTGTGCCAGTTCCACAGATGGTCCCCTCTCAGGAAGGCCGCTGCAAAACGGTGTCAGACTGCATACACAGCGATTTAGTGTTGAGGTTTACAACTGAGTGCTAAAGTCTTGGCATCGTTCCGCCAATACATGCAAGCCCCCACAAACACGCGACATACCCATGTGCACGCAGACACGCACGCACCGCAACACACGCTCAGCAGCACACAACAACTTACACACGCACGACTCACAACGACGGCGCAGCACCACGACGCAACGACGCACACACACACGCACCCCAATAGACACCGCACGACCCTAACCCCCACCAACACCCACACCCCACTCCATCCTTCCACGCGTTCTCCGGCGCTCGATATTGGCCGCCGGCGCGGATGAGCAGCTGCAGCAGTCGTACCAGCTGTAAGCCGCCGCGTAGTGAAGCGCACGTGTTGCCCGATGAGTCGGCGTTCGTCGGCGCGCGGCCGGCATTCAGCAGGCAGTCGAAGGTGACGTGCGCGTGCTCGGTTCATCAACCGCGTGCATCACGGGCGTCCCGCTTCAGCTTATCTTGCAGAGCAAGCGCAAGAAAAAGAGAATGTTGGTTTAGCCGACTCGTGCAGCACGCGCACAAAGGTTACGGCCTTATGTCCGCACAAGGGGACACTAACAGGGATAAGTAAGGTTAAGTACACCGGCAGGCACGCAGGGGGCACGTGTAACTTCATCACTGGGCGGGCATCACGGGCCGTCACGCTTCACTTATTCTGGCAGGCAGAGGCAAGAGAATGGGAACAGTGACAGCGTCGGTCACGACTCGCGCATCACGCATACCCTCTGAAGGCACATACGTTCACCACGACGCACGCACCCATGTACGCCACGCGACGCATAACTCTGAAGCACGTAACGTTCACGCAACGGACCCGCATGCACGGCGACGCATACACCTCTGAACACATACGTTCAAGCAGCCAACAGCGGACGCACGCACGCATAGTACGCACCACGCATACCATGAGACGTACGTTCACATCAACACGCACGCACCGCACGGGATACACATCTGAAGCACATACGTTCACGCAACGACGCACGGCACTGCACGCCAATACACTCTGTTTTTAAGGCACATAACGTTCACCAAGCGACGCACGCACAGCTATGTACGCAACGTCGCAGCGGCACGGCATACAACTCTGAAGGCACTGTACGTTGACACAGGGCACGGACACGCCGCCATACCTGGGAGGTACAAATATTCACCGACAGCGACTCAAGGCACGACATAGGCACTCAGGCACAAAACATGAGGCTGCAAGATTCTCCTCTCCCTCCTCCTCGACACCTCCTGCTTTCTCCCTCTTCCCTCCATCCATCTTCCACCTCACCCTCTTCCTGCCTCCTCTGCCTCCTCCTCCTCCTCCTCACTGCCACTACACTGGCAAACCAACCGCTACACCACATAAAAGCGCCGCCCCACGCACCCTTTCTTCTCGATGATGGTGTGCTCCTTGCTTCGAGTGAGGTACTTGAGCAAGCTCATAGTGACCCTGTGCGCGCAGGCGATCATGAGCGGAGTCGCCCCCGTGGCCGAGGGGTCCAGCAGGCTGCTCAACGTCGGCGCGTAGCGGGCAAGCAGCAGCACCTTCAGCCCGTGCTCTGTAACATAGTGAAAGAGCGACGCTGACGACCCGCACTGACGACGGGACCAAGCAAACCCAGAAGCATTGTAGGTGGGCGCGGTTAGCAGTCCGTCTATGCGAACCGGCATTTCCTATACCGAGAAGCGGGTAGGCGGGACTTCTGAAAACGACGTGGACGTAGCCCCTCAGTGAACTTGCATATGACACCTAAATAAGCACACTAACGCTGACGCGAGAAAAGCCGAGCAGCCATTAAGGCGCAAACCAAGCGTTAGTAGTCCGTTATGCGAAACCGGCATTTCTATACCACCAAACGGGTAAAGCGGGGATTCTAAATAAATTGGCCAAGCGCTGTGATTTGGCGATTGTCCTATGGGCCCGAACTACGAATAATCGTAATCAATGTAATATATATAATGTAAAAACTCTAAGACAAAGGAGCTGAAATACTAATACAAAAAAGACGAGATCAAAGTGAAAGTCAGAGTAAAGACGAGGTAAATGTCAGAGGTGAAGATCAATAGGGAACAAGTGCCGCAGAGCGACACGCGCTCCACCGGCTGACCGGCAGGTGGTCTCTGATGGCTGAAACTCCACTCGGCAAACGATGAAGAGCACCCTCCCATCACCAAGCGTTGCGCTCCAAGAAGCATATATCTAGGATACTACTAATACAGATCTAAAATCTATGATAGCCTAGGCTTTGCTAATAACGCGGTAGACAGGTAATAAAGATATAAAACAGCTGTGTAAACTTAATGACGTTCGCTAATATTAAACATGTTTATCGTGGATATTGCATCCGAGCCGCGAGCGTAAGTGGTGGTGTGGGGGAGAGTGGGGGAGGGGCGGGTGGAAGGGCTTTAAATAAGCAAAAGCATTGCCGGCCGAGATGGCGCGTGCCAAGTGTCATCAATAATCAAAGAATGGCATCAGCCCTTCGTGGCGTGATTTAACCTCACTCCAATTGAGTTGCTGAAATTCCCAAAGTATATTCCAGGCAGGGCAAGAATTTTTGCTGCCAGCTGTGAGTAACACATCTGCATTCGTAGGTTGGCCAGGCAATAATTATGATTAGAATATGCCAGTTCACCCGCATGCAGCGTAATGGGCTGCCCCGCATCTGTGTTTTGCCTACACACGCGAGCATTCAGGGTTCATTACAGTGTCTAATTACAAGGTGCTACTGCAGGGTGCCTAATACAGACTGCTTTAAAGAAATATAATATGATTTAATGGAGGCGTAAACCTTGTTCAAAACAAACATTTGCCTTTGCAATTGAACTGTGGCAAGCTTAAGCCTCACACCACCCAATGGCAAAGCAGTTCAGTCCGGCTTTGTTAACAGTCCAACAAGATCCAATGTTTAACCCCTCCCTCTTGAGGTCAAAAGATTATCCCGACACTTAACTCTTCGGGCATGTCAGCAGAAAGTACAATTTCATGTGCTCTCATAAAGGCATAAAAATGCTAAGGTCACTGCGGCTGACAAAAAAAGTTTTCCAAATCGCTTTTCTTCTTGTCTCTTATGTTATCCATGTCCCTCAGAAAATGTTCTACAAATCTTCACTGTTGCCCCATTTGACCTTTGACCCTGTGACCTCTCAATTTCGGCAGCAGTGATCGGCTTTTCCTACCATGATGCGATAGCACCAAACTATCACGAGCCTTTAGGTCGAGCCGTTTAGATTTGTGCCTGCAATTTTCTGCATTTCTCCTATACCTTAAGTTAAGGAGGGAATGTTCCCGCCTTCCTTTTACACGCTTGACCTTTGACGCTTTGTGACCCCCAGCTTCGAGCATCCGCACTCCGTTTGACGATCCCCCCAACGTTCCCGAATATCCCGTGACCGTACGATCGAGCGGTTAAGATTTTGTTGGCCGAACTGTTGACGGACCGCAACACGGACGAACAGGCAAACGGACGCACGTGACGCACGGACGGACGATCATGCGATTCTCAAAGCTGGCATCTGACTATGTCAGTATGAAGGCTAAAAAGCCAGAGTAACAAGGTTAGGAGGGCAAAGGTCGAGAACTAAGTTTTATTCTAGAAGGTTGCAATGAAGAACCGATCGGAGTATCCATTTCGATGGACATGCCCTCTCCAACGTACCAGGTGACGACTCACCTTCAAGCAGGCGACCCATGCAGTGCCTGTGAACTTTCTCCTGTCAGCATTGGTGATTCCCGCTAGAGAGACGCCGTGACCCGTACCCTCTCGGATGTACCTCGATCCCTGAGTACTGGGGAGAGAGGATCATAAAAAATCACAACAGAACGGATACAAATCAACAATCATTGAAGGCAACCGGATCAGCGTCAGTGCGTTAACTGGTGAAGATCCTACCATTATGCTCCCCTAAAGAACGGCCAAAGGTGGAATGTACAGGATTTCCCGCGGCTGGCGGGCTTGTACCCTGGAGATTGAATTCTGGCGAATACCCGCAACTTAACTAAATGTCCAGCGGTCACTGCATGAGCAGGGCAAGGGCGACGGCCAGCTCGCTCAAGAGCAAACAAGTGTGGCAGCAGTTTCCCACGACGATGTGCGCACCCATTTGCTGCTTCTGAATTCAGTCATTATATTCATTAATTTTATTTATTTGATATTGCCGGCTTAATTTATTTAATTATAATTACATAAAATGACAAAAAGCGCAGCAACAGTCGATTATCATCATGCACCGGGTGGCAACCTTGTTACCATAGACATCATTGCAGCAGCCTGCCTCCCCACACTCATCGCGGTCTCACCTACTTCAAAGGACAGCGTCCTCACGCGTGTCGCGCTGACAAACCGGGCGTACAAGTCGTGGCGGATGACGCGTACCTGGGACCTTTGCTTTGCTTCAGGAGCAGCTCGACGTTGTGAGTGGCGGCCGAAGTAGGCAGCCCCCATGCAGGGGCTAGCGCTGGCTGGCTGTCCACGCTCTGAACGGGCTCTACGTTCCTGCATGCAAAAAAACCGGATGAAAAAAGATCAGATCTCGCGCTATACCAACAACGCAATCTGCCCTACCCAACTGCCAACGCAGCATCCATTTTGCATTCACGGTAGCTATTGAAAGCTCTGGAGCGAACCCCATTTATCCAGTCACACCTGCCCCAAGACACGCAGAGCAAATATTGATTATCCGAGGGAAATAACAAGGCTTGCGACAGTTAAGCGACGAAAGCAAGAATGGTTGTCCTTCGAGCCACAGAAAACATTATCGAGCATAAAATACATGCTAATAAATATTTTTTTATGGATCAAATGCACTGAGCTAGTATCGTTCTCAACACTCAACTACAATAGCGCGAGAGGAATGGTAATGACAGAACAATTATGCCACTAAAACGGTACGCGAATGAGGTAAAAGAGAGTTGAATGAAGGTGGTACGTAGAGATATGTCGGAGCCGGAGAGAATTACGGATAGCAATGGGGTACGGTGGAGATGAGGCAAATGGAAGGAGCAATAGTAACGTACCTAAACAGTAAACAAGAAAACTACTGGGAGAGTATAGAGAGCAAGCGATGCACAGGTGCCTACAGTGATCACGCAAGGAGAACTGGTGCTCCTATGTAGAGCGATAACGAACAGCGCACTTTGTGACCCGAGAACTTAACTAATACGACTGTCGTTGTGGCCACATGACTGCGGTTGCGCGCACAGGGTGGTCAGGCCGTCACGGAGCTGAGGTCGTTGGAGGTGGGCCAGAGCGACGGAGGCGGTGTGGCTGGCGGACGCGGGGTCCGTTGGCGCTGACCGGGGCACCGCGTGGCGCGGACCCGGTCGCGGGTGGGCCGCCTGACGCGCCGCGTGGCACTGACGCGGTCGTGTGGGCGCGGACATGCCGTGGGGCTGCGACGCGGTGCCGGGCGTGGGCGCTGACCGGCCGCGGTGGGCCGCCGGGACCGGCCGCTGTGGGCAACGGACCGGTCGTGTCCACGCTCCCAGCGGACGGCGGAGTACATGCAACTTGCTTGCCAGCCAGCAGCTCGTAGGGGCCCTTGCCCTCGGGCAGGCCGCTCGGCGTAGTGGACAGGCCGGCGAATGGGTACTTTGTGCAGGCGGGGTTCAACGTATTCGACTGAAACAGACAGGAAAGCTTTGGCAAGATAGCTTTGGGGTTGGGGTTGATGAGGCAGCAGTGGATGCGGGGTGACGCTGCGAATGCACGTTTATAAACGAAGAACCATGACTAATAACACAGGATAGATAACTGCCACTCGACGTCCGTTTATAGAAAGTGCACAACCCTTACACGTAAATTCATCATTAGTTCGGATGCCAATTTCAAGTGTTGGGAGATTGATGACAAAGCTCAATTGAAATAAATGTGTCTTTAGGATTCCCGGAGTGTCTGGTACGTCGATACCAATCTGTAAAATCAAGAACGAATAGTCGGCGTAACTTTACAAGTTCAGTAATCAGGCAACAGCCTCTGATCGTCCCGACAATAACAAATCGCTGTTGTTTCCAAATACTTCCCATCGTTACAAAACCACTTAAACAGTTTAAACAGTCGGCTTCTCACTCCACCGCACAGGCATTGGTCAATGAGGTTTCTTCATTAAATCGGAGCCAGCGGCGGCAATGTTTCAATCCTTCTGGTCATTTCATCAGAACCTGCAACGCAGAAGACAAGACCATGGGTCCAAGCCGTACGAATATATCACGCGAATAAACCTGCAACCAAATCAATACCTAGTACAATAAAAGAGTGATCACGGCATTAATTAACAACACGAATGCTAATAATTCAACACATCAAACTACATCAATAACCACCATTAATAACGCATCTTGAATCATCAATATAATTCATTATGATTCACCACAATTAAATAAATAACTCGTCGCGGCACGAAAACGCACGCGGACCAAATGAAGATTCGACGACAGCGACGCGCGCAACGAAAACACAACCGATCGCACCCATCCACGCATAAACAAGCGTGACGACTGGCATCGCACACGCGTCGACCACACGAGGCAGTACATCATAATACTCCGTGGCTTCTTAAAACTGGTGAACGGTGCGTATCACGCCAAAGGGTGGAACGGAAAATTATTGCCAGGTGCAATGAATCAACTAGACCAAAAAAACATGAAGAAATTTAGTCGGCTGGTGAATGAAACTTTGTTCGTGAAGAGCCTCGCGGAGCAACACGGACACCGAAGTGATGTTTTACCCAAGCACTGGCAGCCGGCCTTAAACGACCGCAAGCTGAACCCTCGCCCCCCCCCCCAGCCACCTACCACCTCACACACACAGCACACACACACACACACACACACCACCACCCACAGGCGCGCCTAGACCGGCAGCGTGAAACCTGCCTCCTTGTGCAGCTCGTTGAAGCCGTATCCGCCCTATCTGTCCACCATCATCTCCCCCCATGAGCCTTGCTCGGCGACGCGTCTGTTTCCCGGCGCTTATAGCACTCGGTGGGGCACGTTGTTTGCACCCCGCCATCCTCATCTGAAAACCGTCATCAGCAAATCCGTTCCCATCAACACTTGTCAACAATTGCCAGGCAACGGCTGGCCACAGGCCCGACCCGTCTATCGCAGTACCCCGAATGCACCGCCCGAGTCGCTGCACCATGCATCTTAAAAATTAGGCGAATGGTGAATATAACAACATCAGCTCGTCAGGAATAATCGAAATATTTGTTTTCTCGAGTAATTTTTCCCCGTTGTCCTAACACATGCGTAACATGTCGCAAGTAAAGTCGTTGGCACACAGGATATAACGTGTAAAATTTATCAAACACTCGAACTAAACTAAAATCTTTCATAGAAAAATATCAGCATAGCTGTTTTAATTGGTAAACGATCGTTGGCAGACTTGCAATGCTCGAGTTGGGACGCTTGCCTTCAATTTGGGGGCTGGGTCAGTTTTCGCCAGGCCACTACAACAGGCATAAACACTGATACCTATCTACCCCCAACGCAAATGGCGAATCCACAGGCGCAGTGCGCCGTGACGGGGAAAGGGAAGTGCTTGGCAGTCATCTATTACTAAATACGTTTATCGTCCAGGACGCTGCAGACGACAACGCACGCCTCTACCGCATTCTGACCGCGATGCACCCCGCGATGAGAATGTCAATACCTGTTTCGCCCACGATACACACCCCGCGGGCTGCTTCAGTGCAAAGGGCGAATGTAGGTGTCGCCGGTTGTTCGATCAAAAGGCCCAGTCAAGTCCTATGAACAAGGTCCAACAGGCTAACTACATTAACAAATCGCTCACGACCAACGTATCGCAAACTCCAAAACGCAAACTGCTTCAAACTCGTCGCCACGCATTGGAACTGATAAAAGAACGAGACTGGTGTCACGTTATCGTTATGGAATGACGCAAATGCTCGGTCCACATGCTACATGACTAGCATACCCAAAGATTTATTGTTATAACCAGCTAGTAGCTAAGTAAATACTACCGTAGATTTAATTGCCCCATCTTGATCGCAATACAGTGTTTACCAGTCATGCTGCGATAGAATTCGGCAACGTGTCTTTGATGGCCAACTATTTAGAAGAAAATGCGATAACATCCAAGGGCAAGAATGAGGCGTAACACCAACACGAAAACTGCAAAACAGCCGCGATGCGTACTTGTTAATGCATTATTATCCCTTGCCTGCACCGTCTAACTCATCACTATAGGTCCGTGTCGCGTGGCCCCACATGGTAGTGACTGCCCCTGAAAGCACGCAATAGGGCATTAGCATTCAAAAAGTCTGTATCAATTATGTGATTAGCTAGCCCGTCACTGTGGGCCCATTGTGGGCACGCTCGCCATATGAGCGTTTAATTCATGTTTATTTGCAATTAGCGTTTTAACGTCAATAAATCAGCTGCTACATTGTCTCGCTCTGAAACTAACCGAATCATACCCTGTATCAACCACGAACGTGGCGACTCGCACGACGCACATGGGAATGCACGCCGCGCGAAATGCAACGGCGGCGAAATGCAGATGCGGCGCGGAAGTGCACCCAACGTGGAATGCACCAAAAGTGGAACTATGGCACCACGTGGAAATGCATCGCCGTCTCTCTCTGCACCAAGAAGGGGAAAGAGCAACTAACGGCCAGAACGGTAACATTTGGCATCTTAAAATCGGTTAAGTTCGTCAGCATCCCCTTACTGTGAGCCCGGGCTCCTGGTGTCTTCAGGAGGCTTTGGCGTTGCTTCACGCGTTTCTTTCCCCGGATCTTTCGAGGGTCCTGGGCCAGTCAGAATGGTTGATGCTTTCGTTTGTTGTTGGGGCAAGGATCGCATAGGTGCAAGCCGTTGTACTTGAATGTGCAGATCGATCGACTCACCCCTCCATCTATAAATAGCCAACAAGTCCATGTAATGGAAGAACGGAGGTAATGACCACCGAAGCTTTTACAACAACGATAATAAGTGAATGACGAAACCAAGAATATACCTTGTGACAAGAAAACATTCCATACAGTGGGGATGTTAATGGGTAACGAATAAATAATAATAAGAATGGAATCCCTCGTCGCAATATACGCGGCATATCTGCTCGGATTAACGTTGACAGCATCAATAAATACAAATAATAATAGTGATGAGAATCCATGCG